TTGTCCCCACTCAGTGCAGCTGAAACAAATGGAACAAAAAGACAAATTGAATGCATGTAAAAATAAATAGGGGACAACAATTACTATGCAATAAAAGGCAAGAGGGTTGAGTGACAAGGGATCAGAAGCCTCATGGCAACAATATACCATATTTAGAGGCATGGCTTTTGGGCACAACCAATCATAGCTCTTTACAATCCCATCAACCAATCACAGCTGAAAAGGGGATGACATTTAAATTCCATCAATTAATCACATCTGGAAAGGGGATTACATAACAATCCCATCAATCAATCACAGCTGGAAAGGGATAGGATATGTATATAATGGACTGAAAGTGGAAAGTTCTTGGCCTTTCCAAGCTTTCAGGTCCTGCTTTCCAATATGCTATCTGTGCTGGTTAATTTAATATCCCTCTAGAATTTCACACTTTTCTGTACTGGATGAGTACACTTCTTCTGGATGAGTACACTCTGCATGCTTCAAATATTTTAAAATGAAGTTTTATTGCAAGTGCCCCATCAAACGGGTCTACTCGGGACACTCGTTTTTTTTTTTGCTTCTGGCACCTTACGAATAGCTTATGGAATTTTTTTGACAATGCCATTTGATAGCCCTCGCAAAGAGCTATAAAATGAGCCTTAACTTGTTTATGAAATGTTTAATCGTAAGAAGTTATTAACAGGTATTAGCAAAAAAATGCTCAAAACTGTCCTGAGTAGCCCCGGTTGACGGTATATATATATAAATATTTTGAGTGTCAGTCTTCAATTTATTTTTACGTATTGTTATTCATGGTTTAGTATAAATGTACCATGAATGACAAATTGGTATATAAACTTGTTGCCTTTAGTTTGTATTAGGTTCCAATAAATTGAATGTTTTTGGTACAGAGGCATCAAGTGTTGCAATACATTGTACATAGCTGTCATAGCTAGCAGCTTAGCTAATTCTTATAAGGCTATAACTAGTCTTTAACTACTATTTGACTATATGTTTTATATATTTATTACAATATACTATTTAAATGTGTTAGCTAGCTTGTACAGGGTGGGGCAGAACCGATTGAGCAGTTTTGAGGCGAAATAAAAGAGTAATGGAGGTACATAAAGAAGGAAGTTCATTTTCCTCGAGATTAGCATATCATACCATTTAAAATGCTTATGTTTTGAAAACAATATCAGGAAGATGGTGTTTGTTAGCTGCATCATACTGTTGGAGTCGTTCTCGGAAGTTTCCTAAAGCACGTTCACAAATATGGCAAGGTATGGCCATAACCTCTGCTACAATAATCTGTTCCCTTAGCTGTGGTAGGGTGTGAGGGCGACTTCTGAACACCCTTTCTTTTAGATGTCCCCAAAGAAAGAAATCGCAAATGCTCAAATCAGGTGACCTTGCAGGCCACTGTAAATCACCCCTCAGAGCCCGGGAACATGCGTTTCAAAACATTGAGTGATATTCGGGCTGTGTGAGCTGTAGCCCCATCCTGCTGGAACCACATGTCTCCCAATGCTTCATTTTTAACAATGTTTTCCATCCTGTGCTGCAAGAAATTTTGCAATATTGCAGCATAGTGATCGGAATTCACTGTCCCTCCTCTAAGAATGACTCCAACAGTGTGTTTCTGCGAATGGCCCCCATCTTCCAGATATTGTTTTCAAAACATAACTATTCTAAATGGTATGTTATGCTAACCTCTAGGAAAATAAACTTTCTTTTTCATGTACCTCCATTGCTCTTTCATTATGCCTCAAAACTGCTCTATCGGTTCTGCCCCACCATGTATATTGAGAGGTTGAGATTGTATTGACCTTTTAGGCAATTGGAAAGATTTCCCCTAATACGAGTACTGGTATTCTAATTAAATTATTTAATTTCAATCTTTATATATGCGAATTTAAAACTAGAAACAAAACAATTACAATTATAAGACTATAAATAAAATAATTAAATGCAGTGAATGGAAATAAAATGTTTGAATTGTGCACATGTTTATTTCAAACAGTGTTAGCTTTTCTCATAACTTAAGTCTTGTTTCAAGTCGTATGAGGTTTGTTTGGTTATCATTCAGTTTATGTTTAGTATGTATTGGTTTATTTGTCTGAATTAAATGGGAACAGTGCAGTCAGTCACTCAGTCACTACTAGTCGGTGTGTATAGAGCAGTGGTTCCCAAACTTTTTCAGGTTGGCGCCCCCTTTGGCTCCCTAGTGAATTTCTAGCGCCCCCCACAGACACATATGATATCATGCGCCTCTTTCTATAAAATTTAGTTCGCTGCAATTTTAAAAAAATAAAGGTTAAACACAAATGTGTATTTCACAAATAGGACCCCTTTTAGTGAACCAATGTGTTTTTCAGCTGTTTTAACTGTTTCAGCCCTAGAAACCTAAGACGTCTCGGGCAAATTTACGGCCGGACTCATGGCTGGCCTCACGACCAATCTCCAAATTCAATTATCAAGGAATATCACCCAAACTAATAAACGCAGCTTGATAAAACTTGGAATATGTATTCATCAGAACTTAACGGTGATGTTTAGCTTGCGAAAATGTTTTAAATATCACCTTCATTCGTGAGTTATGATGCGATACAGGCCGAAATTTGCAGTGATCAAAGAATTTCTTTCAAACTACATAACAGATTTGAATGAAATTTTGAATATACATTCCTAACTACCAAATGGTGTTTTTTCGATTAAAAAAATTTTTGATTTTACTTTCGTTTGCGAGATTTTTTTTCATTTCACCGTCATTCTAGATTTCACACTTCCTTATTCGCTTTCGTTCGCAAGTTATACAGATATAGGAGGAATGACTGGCTTTTCTACCGGCTGGTTTAACCAAGAGCCGTTTACATATAGCCATATAACTCACAAACAAAAGCAAAACGAAAAAATTGTAACGAGCTAAACATCACCGTTGCAGAGGTTAGGTATTAAAATACTAAATTTCGTTCAAATCTGTTCACTATATAGTTTGCAAGAAATTTCTTGATTACTGCGAATTTACGCACGTCTTGCTGTTTAAATCACGAAAGAAACTCGTGAACGAAGGCACAATCGAAAAAATTTTCACGAGCTAAACATCACCGTTCGCTAGTAAGGACTGTAAATTAAAATTTTCGTTCGAATCTGTTCAGTAATTTGGGAGAAATTCCTTGATCACTGTGAATTCGGCCCGTATTGCCATATAAGTATGGCAAAAACAATTGAAGGCAAAAGCTTTAAATTACCGTTAGGTCCTAATGAATACGTGTATCAAGTTTCATCAAGTTAAGTTCATTAATTTGAGAGGTATTCCTTGATCATCAAATTTGGAAATTGGCCGTGAGACCGGCCGCGAGTCCGGCCATTAATTTGTCGGAGACGTAAACCCAGAAGAGGTTAAAAAATATAACTCAGTACCCACTGCAGTGAGTGTCAGAGAGCGCATTTTCTCGTCGACGAAAACGTGAAGTCACGGACGGACAGACAGGCGGACAGAATGCACGTGTTGTGTACAAATCGTCAAACAAACGTTCGAACTTCTGAATTCGACTTCGGACTGCCGCCACTCTATCGCCCCCCTATCGCCCCCCTATCACCCTCTTCTTCTTTACCGCCCCCCAAAATCTTTCCATCGCCCCTAGGGGGGCGATATCGCCCACTTTGGGAACCACTGGTATAGAGGGTAGAGTCTGGTGGATTTATAGGACATAAAATTAGTAGATCTATGGATAGTGCTGTGCACTGTGCTATCAGCTACCTATCTGTTGTGTGACTCTTCAATGCTTAGAAGATCTGCATCCCTGAAGTGTTTTTGTATATTGAAGGTAGTTAAATGGTCAATATTTAGCTCATTACCTTGCTCCATACAAACTTGACAAAGCTAATGAATAGACTTATCAATAATTGTTTACCTAAAAATCCCTAAGTGGTAAACACCACCTTGGCCAGTTAGCCATTATTGAAGGCAATAAGTGCCCTTTTAGCCCTCCATTATGATCCATATAGGTACTGTTATTGTTAGTAGGCTAATTGCAACATAAAAAATAACCTTTCAAAAAGACAAAAAAGCTGAAAAAATCAAATAAATAAAAAAAATCATGAAAAAATAAAAAAAATATCATTGATTTTTCATTTTTTTTTAAATATGGTAACATCACATCAATAATGCGGTAATGTATGGATGTGCTAATATCATATCAATAAAGGAAAAATAAGTACAAATCACAGAAAATGTCATTTATTCCACATCTACATCATCTACAAATGAATAGGAGGACTTTGGAGTAATGTTAGTAATGGATGCGTGCACTCTGCATGCATCAAACTTTTAGAAATTGAGTTTTATTTCAAGTTTCCCTAATTACCCTGCTCCCAGGGGAAATTCAGGACGCTTTTCTTTTATGCCTGGCACCTTATGAATGGCAAACGGAATTATTTTTTAGAAGATGCCATACAATAGTCCTTGCAAAGAATTTTAAAATGAGCCCAAACTTGTTTACGAAATGTTTCATGGTAAGAAGTTATTAAAAAAAATACACTCAAAATTGTCCCTTATTACTCCATTGGACGGTATAGAAATTTAACAGAGCAATAATAATTTATGAATTAATCCCAGTCAATAAAAACTTAGATAAATTTGGTAGCTTCTAATTTTAGCCTCAGACTGGTTGTAATGATAATTTGTGTAGATTTAATCTGCTATTTTAAAGCATGATGTCCACATTTCACAAATTTGATAATTTTGATAGCCTTTTGGCAGGTTGGTATTAGAAGTCATCCAGCATGAGAAACTTGTAGGAACCCTGATGAAATGGGTTGAGCTCATAAACCTTTCACTGCTGTACAAACTCATTCAATCAAAACAGTTAGACTCGTGAGTAGTGAAACGTGGCAAAAAATCATGAACATAAATTTGTTGTCAGTTTTAATCTTGGGGCAATTTAAAGGAAACTTTGGATGAATTCAAATTAACTTGACAAGATGGTATTAAGTTTGATTTATTTTTATTTACAGAGAAAAACTTTTGATTCCAGTATATACATTGTATTGCAAAATTGTTCCTAGAAGATTTTTACAATTCTTCTACAAATTTGCTTGTGCTTGTTTTTTCTTCAACTAGAAACACAATGGCTCTTAAAACTAAGAATTCAGATTCTTTCAAGGCTGTGGAAACTAATAACAGGCTGGAGAATATCTCCCAAGATGAATCCAAAACCAACCAAAATGTGCGAGTTAAAAAAAGGATACCAGGCATTGTGTACATGTCTACAGTACCTTTTGGTATGACCATCCAAGGAATTGTTAGTCTTCTTTCCAAATTTGGGGAAATTGGACGAGTTTTCTTCCAGAATGCAGAGAAAGAAAATTGTAAGTATTAGATTGGATAACATTTGAATCATTTAGCGTACTGTAATTTTTGTATTCAATTTTTGTACTTAATTTTTTCTTGATTCTAATTCGTGCATAATTTGAGGGAAATGATGATGAACTATTTGCAATATTTAACTCTTTTGTAACTGCAATGTGTTTTACAACTGTTTACTTGTATGTTTACAGAATTATGGTAAATTAGGACTGAATAAGGCATTTCTGTAAAAATTTTTAAAAATATGTTAATGGTAAAATTATATACATGGGACTAGAAAGTCCCTGTAGTATATGGCTATATCTGTAGTATAGGTATTTCTGTAACTGAGGCGACAGATTTTGTAACATTAGGCTGCTGCATTGTAGGTGCATTTCTGTTGCTATTATTTGTTTGATCATATCTTTTATACTCAATGCTTGGCCCAAATGACAAATTTGGAGTCATGGTCCATAGAAATGCTCAAAAATATTTATTGTGAGAAATAATGATTTCTCTGAAAAACAATACATATTTATGCACTATGTAGATGTTAGTAGTTGAATAATATTACAAACTTCCATTGGCAAACATGTGCACTAGCTTATAATAACATATCACTACAAACAGATGAAAAAATTAATATTTCACAATAACCAGCTAAAAATAATATTCCTTTGGAGTTAAGATAGGTGCAGGAGTGTTTCTCATAAAACCCTGCAATTAACTGTGCCTTGAATATTGCACTATTTGAACGTTTGGGGCAAAACATTGAGCTGCGAGGTCACAGTCCTGTGAGTCACAAAAGGGTTAAGTTCCTCATTGAATCTTAATTTGAAATAGTTAATAATTTCACAGTGAATATTTTTATACTGAATGGAAGCAAATTTAAACTTTTTACTATTCATAAAAATTGTTTCCAAATAGCTGCCAAAATACTATAAAAAACAGCTTTTCACTTCTTATAAAAAAATCTTACCACTTAGTGTAAAATATCTTATCTCTTCTCATAAAATATCTTATCTCTTCTCATAAAATATCTTATCACTTCTCATAAAATATCTTGTGCAATAACATGCATGGTTTTGCAGACATTGGAGGAGAGAGTGGTGGCTCATATGGACGCTCTGTAGCCAAGGCCAAGAGCACCCGACACAGACGCACCATCCGCTACAGTGAGGCTTGGATAGAGTTCCTGTCGAAGCGACGAGCAAAGTGGGTTGCTGAGATGCTCAATAACACTCCGGTGGGAGGCAAGAAGAAAGCTATCTATTATGACTGCCTCTGGAACATGAAATATATATCCAAGTGAGTCTTATTTGATTAATCGGCATGTAATCAGCCTCTAGTCAGAAGGTTTGTTCTCTTAAATATGAAATGGCTTAGATTTTGTAAATTAATCATTCAAAATTTAATATTCACTATTTACTATTTTTTACTTTACTTACTAGCTTCCAGCATATTAAAACCCAACCTTGACAAAAGTTCTTACTTTATTTATGAACGTGAATTCTGTCTTTCTGCCAGAAAAATGCTTGATTACTTATATGTTTTTTTATTGACATAAGACTAAGTCAAGTAGCCTTTAAATTATCCTGTATTGTAGAGTCTGGAGAAAAATTTTACCTTCTTGTTCTTATTGCAAGATGAGTTTAAGGGGAACCACTAGCCTCATCTGATGTTAATGCAAATCATTTTTTCCACAGTAAGAGTTGACTGCCACATGAAATAGATTTTCCAAGTTCATGCTTCTTATTGAGCTATTCTGATGTTAAGGATTATTTTATTTTCGACACGAAAATCATGTTTGAAAATTGTGTGTGGGAGGGTCCACTCAAAATGTAATTTTGCTCTTCTGCAATCTTTTATAAATCAAACCATGTTTCAAGGATTTATTTGATTTTCATCACGATTAACTAACTAATAAATTTTATGCTAGCGTGAACACATTACTTTTACAATCATTAATGTCTGTAAATAATACCTTATTATTGCTTGAAATGTTCATTAAGAAATATTTTCATAATTTAAGAATCTGGAGCACCATGGATTTTGCTAACAAATTAGCTTAATTGGAGTAGTTATTTGTCAGTAGTCCCCGTTGAGTTTTAATGCGGTTTTAGAGCGCCCCACCACATAGCCTGTGACATTTGATTGCACGCCTGCTTTGTGGGATTCAGTTGTTATGCAGGCAGGATCTACTGCATTTCAGTTCCTTGTTATGGAACGTGTGCCGATGCACTGTACAGGCGCCCTCTTTTTAAGGATCTTCGTTTCTGTTGCTGTTTGCCTGTTGCGATAGCCACAGCACTTGATTATCAGGGATAAACTTGAATTAAATTAAACGTGTGATGATCGAGAACCTTCACTATTTTGATGCAATAAGTTCAGGAGATATCCCAGATAAGGTTTCTTCTTCTAAAGCGTTCATGAACTAAGTATTCGGGATACTTATATTTCTATTGATATATATGGTAAAATTAACTTTTTAGCGCATTTTCTCATTTATGTAAAAAAGGCGCTATTGTGCTCGTCATGTCCGTCCATCTGTCTGTCTGTGACTTCATGGACGGACAAGAAAATGCGCTCTCTGTCACTCACTGCAGTGAGTACTGAGTTACATTTTTAGCGCATTTTCTCATTTATAGAACAAAGGCGCTATTGTGCTCGTCATGTTCCTCCGTCTGCCTGTCCGTGACTTCACGGACGGACGAGAAAATGCGCTCTCTGTCACTCACTGCAGTGAGTACTGAGTTAAATTTTTTTTCAATTGCCAGGTTGAAGTGGGACATGCTTAGTCGGCGCATTAAATACGAGCGTGAGATGCGGCAGAGACAGCTGGCCAATGAAGTGAGGCAGGTGGCTGAGGAGACCGAGCAATACATCAAGGCAGCGCAGGTGGCTGAACGTCTCGAGAAGAAAGGAGCACTCGCTGGGGGCAAGGCAAACTCTAAGGCAGCCGTCGGTATTAAGCAGAGGTTAACTGAAGAAGAAATTCTTAAGAAGCAGGAGCTCAAGAAATTAAAAGAACAGAAATATAAAACAAAGATTCAGAAAGCCAAAGCAAGGAAAATTAAAAACAAGAATTCAGTTTCATCTGAAGCTGACAAGAAGTTTAATGTTTTTGCTGAGAAATAAAACACTTTGAACTTATGTTTTTATCATTTCAGGTAGCCTGTCATTATAACTTTTTTTTTAAATCCAAAGATATATCAAAACAAACTCATTATTTTCGCATATATCCCTAAGAATTTTTTTGCGATGTCATACAAACCTGAATTTTGATCATTCCTTCTACTGCTGAATTTTTTCCAAATTATTTGAACCCGATTAATTTTTTGTCATAAGGTAGATATTTCCTGTTTGATTTGTATGCCTGCGAGACCGTCCCTTGAGTTCAACCGCGTGTGGTCAAAATAAGTTCAATGATGACATTTAAGCGTCAATTTAATGAAGGTGTGCATATCCATGATAGAAAGTTGCTAAGCTAGTGATAGCGACATGCTACGAAGCTTGAAACAAGCGAAAGATGAATAGTTTATGGTGACCACGATACTGATAACCTTATAAATTTATAATCAAGTGACGATATACCAGTTTGCTCGCAGAAACACTGCTCCATGCTTGATCACCTGGCGAGGGAGCCATAACGTTTGTAAATTATATTGCTTCTGGCCGCTGTGGTATCGTGGCTCAATGTCATCTACGGTTTGTTGTCCCTGCTGAGACTCGTTAAAGCGCCTCCCGGTGATGATACAAGTTACTTTAAATAGTGTTATGTCACTCCTAAATCATCTGACATTTCTTATAACACAGTTACTGCAGCTAGTGATTGTCACGTTATTTTACTCTAAAAGTTGATTAGTATTTCGTCGAATCACACATGAAAAATTGAAGAAAAGCAATATACCGTGGAAACCAGCCTAATGAACTTGAAACGTGTAGGAACTCAGTTGGTAGTCTTTAGCAGTTCGTTCGTAAAGCGAACCTATTTTCCAATTAAATTTTTCAGAGAAAACTCAGATCTGTGTCAGGCCTCCCAAAAAAGTCACCTCATCTACGTATATATTTTACAATCTGCTCGAAAAACTTATAATTTACAATATGCCCGAAAAATTACTCGGATGGTAAAAGGAACACCATTTATGCACCTAACGTACAGGCAGTAAATCAAGTCTGTTACAGTGGTGTCCGTACTTCTATTTGAGCCGTATTCCTTGCTAACTCGACGACCCTCATCCAATCGCCATGTTTGTTTCTTGACTACGTCCAATTTTTATCGATATGTATCGACGCTTTTAATGCTGATTCACTGTTATTTTAGTGCTCGGGGTCGTACAGCGAACCGCGGTCGAATAGCGAAGCATAATATTTTTCATGTAACAGTTTTTTCGTAATGCGAAGCTCGACTGTATCGGAGTTACTTTACTGCCTGTACCGCTAGGTGCTTAAATGGTGTTCCTTTTACCATTCGAGTTCATATTAAATCAGTTGACATTTTCCGATGAAAAGCTTGAAATCTGCTGCTGCCATACAAATTTTCAGTAAAACATTCTAAATATCCATAAAAATCGTCGTGATATATAGGACATGCCAACGAATTTCACGCGTCAGTCATTGTCATATCTATATTACACAAGCAGCTACCAAAACCTAGCGACAAGTTTCCCTAGTCAACAAATATAACTAAACCTTTAATTGCTTAATGATTATTTATTTCTTCTCGTTTCATTCAGTTCCAGGCCTGGATCTGGGCAGGCTGCTTCTCAGACACTTTTTTCAGTCGGTTTCGAGGCCGTTCTCCAAAGTTCAGTTAGACCAGTGGTTCCCAAAGTGGGCGATATCGCCCCCTAGGAGCGATAGAATGATTTTGGGGGCGGTAAGGTAGAAGAGGGCGGTAGGGGGCGATAGGGGGCGGTAGTCCGAAGTCAATGTCAGAAGTTCTAACGTTTGTTTGACGATTTGTACACAACACGTGCAGCACATGACTCCCAGCGATGGTTTTTTCACCCAGATCTGTTTTTTTAACCTCTCCTGGGTTTACGTCTCGGACAAATTAACGGCCGGACTCGCGGCCGGTCTCACGCCCAAATTCCAAATTCAATGATCAAGGAATATCTCTCAAACTAATGAACTTAACTCGATGAAACTTAGTACACGTATTCATTAGGACCTAACGATAATGTTTAGCTCGTGAAAATTGTTTGAATTTTGCCATCGTTTGTTTTTTCCATAGTTATTTGGCAACACGGGATGAAATTCACAGTGATCAAGTAATTTCTTCCAAACTACCGAACAGATTCGATCGAAATTTTGAATTTACAGTCTCAACTACCGAACGGTAATGTTTAGCTCGTGAAAATTTTTCCGATTGTGCCTTCGTTCGCGAGTTTTTTTTTTTTTCAGCTCTCCAACAACAGCAATACGTGCTTAAATTCGCAGTAATCAAGAAATTTTTTCCAAACTACTGAACAGATTTGAACGATACTTAGTATTGAACGATACTTAGTATACTTAGATACCTATCCTCAGCAACGGTGATGTTTACAATTTTTTCGTTTTACCTTCGTTTGCGAGTTATACGGCTATACGTATAAGGCTTTTGGTTAAACCGGCCGGTAGAAAAGCCAGTCGTTCCTCCTATATCTGTATAGGAGAACGAAAGCAAAAAATTGTCTCGGGAACGAAAGCAAAATAGAAAAATTGTCACGAACTAAACATCACCATTGAGAGTTTAGGTATTTATATACGAAGTTTCGTTGAAATCTGTTCGGTAGTTTAGAAGAAATTTCTTGATCGCCGCAAATTTAAGTGACAAATTACCCGGCGATACTGGCCGAATATAAGGAAGTGTGAAATTAAGAATGACGGTGAAATAAAGAAAACTTGCAAACAAAGGTAAAATAAAAAAATTTTAAGCTAAAAAATCACCGTTTGGTAGTTTATATTCAAAATTTTGTTCAAATCTGTTCAATATTTTGGAAGAAATTCTTTGATCACTGTGAATTTCGGCCTGTTTCGCAACATACGCGTAACCCACGAATGAAGGTGAAATTAAAAAAAATACGAACTAAACATCAAAGTTAGGTTTTGATGAATACGTGTTCCAAGTTTCATAGAGCTGCGTTCATTAGTTTGGGAGATATTACTTGATAATTGAATTTGGAGATTGGTCGTGATCGAGACCGGCCACGAGTCCGGCCGTAAATTCGCCCGCGACGTCCTAGGTTTCTAGTGCTGAAACAGTTAACACAGCTGAAAAACATATTGGTTCACTAAATGGGGTTCTATTTGTGAAATATACATTTGTGTTTAACCTTTATCTTTTAAATTTGCCGCGTACTAAATTTCAAGAAAGAGGCGTATGTCTGTGGGGGGCGCTAGAAATTCACTAGGGAGCCAAAGGGGGCGCCAGCCTGAAAAAGTTTGGGAAACACTGAGTTAGACTAAAATATCTCTAAAATTACTGATAACAGCTCGATGAAACTTTTCACACGTATTCAATAGCACTTAACAGTGATTTTTGGGTCGAGATCATTTTTTGATGTCGCTTTTGTTTGCAAGTTATACGGCAATACGGGCCAAAAATTGCAGTGAGCCTAATATATCTTCCATCCTACAGTTCAGATCTGAACGAAACTTTGAATATACATTCATAACCACCTATCAGTGATGCTTAGGTCATGGAAAAAATTTTCGATTTCGTCTTCGTTCGCCAGTTAAACGGAACGACCGGTAGTTTTGTGGCCGATTGTCAAATTGGCAGTGAGTCTTAAATGTGTCCCAAAATAAAAAACGCAGTTTGATAAATCTTTGCACGTGCATTCATCAGGTTATATCGATGATGTTTAGGTCATGATAATTTTTTCGATTTTGCCTTTGTTTCCAAGGTATGTGTTAATTTTCTTCCAAATCTGTACAGTATGATATTCTATTCTATTCTAAGACAAATTAGGTTCACTGCGAATTTTGGCCCGTATTAAAGTAAAGCATAACTCGCAAACGAACGCTAGATCGAGAAAATGATCGCGACCTAAACATCACTGTTAGGTTCTATTGAAAACATGTGAAAAAATTTCATCGAGCTCCGTCCACCAGTTTGGGAGATATTTTAGCTCTTTGGAGACCGGCCGCAGAAGTGTCCAAGAGGTGAGCAAGCTAATAAGGCGTGGAAAATTTTAGTAGGAAAAACAATCCTATTCATTCATATTCATTAATAATTTTGAAGTTTATTCATATTGTTGTTTATGTACTACTACTAGCTCTCTGATGACATCACTCATCCCGTTTATACCTCCTAAATACCCAATAAATTGTTTCAATGTTCCAATACGAATTGAGATTGCGGCCAGCAAATTATTTACGCAGTTGCATACATTATAGAACATCTAAAGGTCCACGACAATTTTAGAACGTTTATTTGTAGTAAAAGTGCTAAGGTGTTATGTTCATTAATGTCTATTACCTGCACTTCGACCATGAATTAAATACCTGAACCTAAGCGATTAATTACACTAAAATTATTGATGGGCTTTCATGTTTAATGATGGTTTTTCTTCAGTGAATGCTCTAATATTAAAATAATAAATTTATTCGAAACTGTACCTGGATATCCGCTCGAATTTTTTCACTTCCGTCCTTCTGGCAACATTTATTACGGTAATGTTCCAGTTTGTTTGCACCTGTAAAAAAAAAGTCACGTGGGTCGTTTCCAGTCTCAACCCGTCAACAACAGCACGTGGGTTGTGCTCAGTGATCACTCGTGAACTAAGTAGTGATCGAAAGATGAATTGAGTGAAGTTATTCCACTTTCTTCTTAATTAAAAACGACATATAAGAAGCTTATAGTGTGTAGCTATTTAAGAATTCCACTTGCTGGATCTAGGTGGTTTTACTTTTAATAGAATTGAATACGATGTGTTAGAGAATGTTACAGCATAGCGTGTAGCTATTTGAAAATTCTGAGTGATGCATTTAGGTATGTGGTTTAACTAGAAATAAAGAATTGATTAGGTACTACTTACTAGTCATATCTGATGTGTTAAAGTGTTTTGCGTGTATTTGAAAATTCTGACTTCTGAATGCTGGATTTGGCCTCCAGCAGGTGGTTAAAGTGGAAACGGCATTCAAAACCTGATGATTTCAAATTGAAATGATTGCAAATTATAAATAATTTATCTTTTGCAGAAACACTATTTTGTTTGGAGCAGATCAATCAGTTAAAAATTGACAAAACAAGGTCATATTATTAAAAATGTCTTTAGTTGTTCCAACGCTGTTGGCGTTGCAGCAACTACCCTCGCTAAATGCCTTGGATCTTGACGAAGTGAACTTGACAACTTTAGAGGAAGCAGTTTTAAAGTTGGAACTCTTACTTAACGTCCATGTAAAACACAGGATGGGAACCCTTAAACTTGTCGAACAATTTCGGATGTGGCGGTGCGAAAATGTCTACGAATTGAGAGACCAAGTAGTTAAAGATCCATATTATGCTCGACACGGCTGCAAGTTTGCATGCCAAGTCTATTTGTATGAGTTCAACGACCACTTGAAGCCTATAGCTGACGCTCCTTGTGAGGTTTTCGACGAAGAGTTTTTCGATATTCTCGTCGAACGAATCGGGAACTTCGAAGGTCTACACGCACAGCAGTTGCAGGTCACACTGCTTCTCTCCAAGGACCTGGCGCTCCTCAGAACTATCTTCAACTTGAATCGCAGTGAAGTTTCCAGAACTGAGTTCATAGAGGAGTTGAAGAAGTGCTGTATCACGTTGCCTCCAGAATTAAATTATTGTCCTCCTATAAAATCTCCTTAATGCGTGAATGCCAGAAGTTGTGGTTTTCGCCATAAGTTTGAACAGGATTTTTCATTTTTACTGTATTATCGGACCCGCATGTACATATATAGTAGGGATTAACGAACTTGTAGTAATAAGTAGGTACGTAGTATAGTTGCGCTGCACTGCGTTCCGATCACGATCAGCATCTGCTACCGCCTATCATGCAGTGCGAAAGATAAATTTTGTTTTGTTAGTTAAATTTACCTGTTGCTACTAGGTTACTCTTGAATTATGGTGTATGGAAGTGATATTTTCCAGTATGTTTTTCCCCTATTGGTTATTATCTGTCAATTTCTGACGGCTTTAATGAAGGTGAACGAGAATACGCCGCCCTGCAGCTAGCAAAGCGCTCTGGTTGTCACTGTATATATTTCCTCCCATTTAAATTGTCTGCAATTAACTGGCCTAATTGTAATTAAACTTGTGGAACGAATCGAATTTAAATTCGATAATAACTTGAAGTTGTTAAGTAACTTGTCGTAGCATTTAATTTTTAAGCTTTTTGTTGGACTCGACCGGAAATACCGTCGCCGGCTGGACGTTTGCTGTTTACGTAGTATTCTTTTATGAACTTTTGTTGCTCATTTTAGTTTTAGGTAATGACCTTCATTGGACGCGTTGATTTTAGCTTACGTTTTAAATAATTTGTCGCTTGTTGCTAACTTGATCAAAGCAGACTCACTCATAAAGCGTAGAATACTCAATTTTGGTTTCCTTACAGTGACAAATAAATGTTGAAAACATAATTTCTGAAGTGAAAAGGAAGGAATGCCGTACGATTAACACTACGATTTACGAAAGCCGAATAAGTAGCCATGGGGTTGAGTAGCCCCAAGCGTCTGATTCTTAGCCTGGTTAGCCACATGAATAAAAAAAATATAACTCAGTACTCACTGCAGTGAGTGACAGAGAGCGCATTTTCTCGTCGACGAATATGTGAAGTCACGGACGGACAGACAGACTGACGACAGATAGACGGACGGACGGACGGACATGGTGAGCACAATAACGCCGTTTTTCCATAAATGAGAAAATGCGCTAAAAATAGACAATGCCTGCAAATAGAATTGGGACCATATTAAGTGGCTACCGGAATCCGGACAGTAAAAATTAGCCTTTGTGGTCCGATGCTCAGTAACATGGCAATGAGGAGATTTGTAATTTCAATTGTTCGGCAGAATTACCACGTGTCCGCAGATTATTTTGTCTGTACCTGCAGTGACAAGTACAATAATTTCGCGTATCTCAGTCATTAATAGAGAAAAATGGATCTTTTAGCTGATAGGAGATTGCTTGTCAGGAATATATACATAAACGCTCACGAGGCTGGTGAGAGCGTCCATTTGGCCCCCTAATCTATTTACGTCCGCGCGTTTATTGGGAGCATGATGCAATTGAAAGATAAACCCATGTATAGTTTTTCTGTGTAGTCAATCGTAGCAAATACATCCCCCAATTAATTTTGTTTGAGGCCTATACTGGGCGCATGTATGCCATTTTTGTATCGCATTTGCTGTTCACATCTGCAGGTATCGTATCAATTCAATTAGAAATCGTATCGATTCAATTGGAGCTTATGCATAAATTAGTGCAAGTTATAACATTTTCCACTAATCTTACCTACTCTGCAATGTATGTATAATTTTCAATACACTTTACACATGCATCACATTCAGTACAGTTTAACTCACATTTTATGATATTTGTTGTGCCGGTCTCATTTCTCTCATCGTCTATATGTCGTTAACACGTTATCACGGAGTGATCATTCATTAAAATTAGTGATTATTCATTCCTTGTGAAGCTTTGCCTAGGAAATACATGGAATTTAATTCAACGCGTATGCACGGTAGCATTTATAAAGTAAATTAGGATATCACAAGTAAATATTGTTAAACTTGGGCAGGCAAATAAGCGTGGAAGAAACGCCTCAAAAAATGGGACTGTCCAATTTAAGTTAGTAATGCTGGTATCTTTCATTGTCATGCATTTGATGTCAAATGAAGCGATGAAGCAGCTCGGATAATATTAATACCTAACCTTCGCCTGGCATTAAAGTTGCTTTGTAATATAAAAATATCTAGAATTTCTATGTGTGCTAGTGTGTACCTTCGGCAAAATAGTGCCACAAGAGAGAGCCATGACTACGGACTTTGTGGGTTAGGATTCAGGCTTATATTCTTTGCAATAGAATAATTATCTTATTATTTGTTTTTGTTAATTTTTGGTAATAATTAGCGAGAGTCGAAGTTTATCACTACGTACGTCTTTTTTTTTATAGGATTGGTTGCTATTAGCTATTATTCAATATTCGCTCAGTTCCGGCATCAAAACTCGAGCATAAATACGTTAATGAAATAAATTCGGAGTCACTGCAGATCCCATGCGGTCAGAGATTAGGTTTTGTTCAGTCGTGACATGAAGCTCTTTTCTTGTCTCGCATCTGCTGTGAACTTCCATCCATTTTATACATTGTAAATTTATTAGAATGATAAGCGATGATTACTGACTGCATCGTTAATTATAAACAATGGTAAATCATTGCAGCAATTCAACTCGATTTACATCAAGATTGCATAGTTGTCTACAAAATATATGAATAATTCTGCCTTTCAACGCCTGTAATTATATAGGAAAAATAGTTGAACGGAATTCTTCAGAAATGCAAGTGAAACCAAAATTGTCTGGATACTATTTTATTGCTGTAAATATTTTGAACTTCTTCTTAAATAAATTGCACGTACTTAGCTTAAATTGGTTATTGACGACAAAATTTCCTACTCGGCAGTTACAATTAATGGCGTGTTCACAAAGAAGCCCATTCCAGGCCTAAGCCAATGCAAGTCTTGCGCTCGCAGCACTATTGTGAACGCAGCTCCACAGGCTGTCGGGATAAAACTTCATATCGGCATTTGCTATGAAATTTAATAGTGAAAACTATCGTGTGTTGAGGGGAAGCAAATTTGCTGCTGAATTATGTTGACCTTTCATCTTGAACGATAATGAACAAATTCTAATCAACATTTGTGTTTTATTACGCTGAAGAATTCGTGATAATACAGTTCGATTTCTGGCTTGGAACCCATTGTGAATGTGGTTTTTATTTCCTCTGTTGAATACACCAGAATTGGAACACAGACGGGAAAATGAAGATATATCCTTTATAACGGCATTTGAGTCGTGCCTGTCATATTTTGAATTAATGTTGACCGCATTTTAGAAGAAATACCTGTGCCAAGTGTTCTGTAGAATGTAGAATGTAAGAAACCTTAATCAAGTTGGGCCTTGCCTCTTATATCGGAAATAAATATTAAAAGTAATACGAAATCGTTCTACCAATCCCTTGTTTGGTGTGGGTTTTCATCACATATATGTCTGCATTACATGCCTGCAGTTATCATACGGCTAGGTGCAGAACTTTTAAAAATGTTCACTGTGATTACAATACGAATGATCACCGCGTTCTTGGCAGTTCCTGACATTAACTTGTTTTACCTGAGCTTATCATAGTATTCAATAGATAGTGTTATACGTAGGCTTTCATCGTGCTAATTTAAACGTTGAATTATGTTGACTTGAGAGATACGAGGCGAGAGCGAGCGCAGCGTGAACACCGTAGCATTGCTCTCTGAAGGGAACGAGTCTCAATTCTCCATCTCCCGATCAGTGATGATTGAATCCGTCGTGTTGTCGACACAATCTGCACCGTACGTCGTTTTTTCTCTTTATTGCTGACGTCCGATTTTATGCATATTTCGACACTTGAACCTGCTAATGTGTAGTTAATTCATTGGACCAAGATATGAGTATTGAGCGAGTGTTGACAACACGACTGACGACGCATCATTGAGCGCTGAGACAGTGAACAGTGACGTCACTGCGACCCTCCAGCGCCAGCGAACGCTGGGTTCACAAACGTCCCCGTGGCCGGCTTGTAGATGGGACTTTTCGCCTGGAATCGTATGCAATTGAATTAAAATTCAATTAGTATGCAGTAATTAATTAGTATGCACAAAAATTCAATTAGGATGCACTGACACAATTCGCAAAAGAGGGACGTAATAATAAAGCAATATAGCTTTAGAATGGATAACAAAATTACAAAGTGAACTCCTACATTTGTACAATGAAAAATGTGCGATAATAAAAATTTCTTACAATTGGAGTGCTTGACTGAGAAGGAATTTTAAAAGTTTTTGCTAAGGGCGAATTACAAGATGACTAATAAGCCTTGACCGACGAATAAAATACTTGGAAGTTTCAAATATAATGTTGACATTTCTTTATGAAGTGAATGCAATAACGGGACTAAATGAGGGAGAACTGAACTGAGAATAACTGATGCAATTATAGCGAGAAACATTTTCAGAAGTGCACACTATCTGAAAGTGAGGAATGAAACGAAGTTCAATTAAAGGAGAGATGACCTCTTAAATATTATTAATACCGTTCAAGAACTATCTACGCAGACACCAAACACAAGTCAGGCCAGTTTGAAATTCATGGTATGGAAATCGAAAATATATTCTACCCACCGTGCCGAACTGGACATTTTTACGCTCGTTTTCGAACTTGGCGAACTCCCTTCGGTCGTGGATGGTGGTGAGAACCTTCCAGAGCAGCAGCGTCAGCAGACCTATGGCGACCACTCCTCCGATCACGCCCAGCACCACGCCTGAGGGTCAGGGTCGTGAATAGTTGTGTTGTATGATTGTATGAGCAGTCACCTGCACCACGACTGCAAGCCTGGGTTTTGGTGGTCACCAAAACTTCAAAAGGACACAAATTTAATAGTGTTCAAAGACGTGCAACCAAGATAATTCCAGGCTTGAAGGGCAAGTCCTATGAAGAAAGATTAAAGATTATAAAGCTTTCAAGCCTCTGTTATCGGCATCTGCGTGGGGACCTCATTGAAATACATGTATACTCATGGTTTATACAAGGTCCCAGAAGGTTTACTAGAATTTAAAACAAGAACCTACACCAGGGGCCACGGCTATAAACTAAAAAAACTGCGTTGTAACACATCCATGCGACAACACTTCTTCTCGATCGAGTCACCGACATGTGGAACAGCCTCCCTGGTGACATTGTAGCTCCGATTATGAACGCGTTCTAGAACAGACTAGAGTACTAGAAAAAGCTATGAAATAGCATATGTTCAGTCTTGAAATGCCTAGCAACTTACGGACCTGGTAAGAAGTTCACTTGCTAGTTCAAACAGCGTCAGTTATGAAAAGATCTGGTCAAAAGGCCAGTTTTTAGATCTCTTGAGAGAGAGGCCGGTTGAGATCTCTCGAGTACAAGAATCAGTAACAGGCCATGGGCTTATTTCATCAGCGCTGACACTTCTACGCTATTCTATCCGAAGACTGAAATTGAGATTAAATGTCATGGTAGTTTATTTCACAAGTCAAAGAGTTAAATGGAAATAAAATTAGATATTATTACAAATGCCAAATATTATATAATATTGGTACCAGTAATGCATAATAATTTTCGTGCAAAGAAATCTATTAATATGGTAGCCACTTCTTATTCGAAAGTCCTAAAGTTAGCAGAACATAATGCACTATCCTAAACGTACCGAACTTAATGTGCACTTGTAACGTTTTTCGCCCTGTATATCGTTGTCATACAGACAAAGCTAATGATTTAGCTGTAAACTTGAAAGCACCGCTTATCCTCGTAAGGGACCGCAGCACCGCAGGAAGGGTCTCCCCTCGGCCTCAAATTTATCTCCTGAACTAAATGACCGATCTTTCTGAAACTTCGAACGCATATGTAAATCATTAAACGGAAAACATTTATTTCCTATGAATTTATGAAAAAATTGAAAGAAAACTTGAAATGTAGAGAAAACTGCAAATTAGAGGCCCTTTATAAATCTTATCTCCTCTTTCAATTACGGTGCTACAGCATCAAGAGACATATCAATCGATTCATAACAAAAATATCTATCGGCTGTAGAAGCCATTTTTATATTTGTTTTTTATTTATTTTTTATTTTATACGTCTTTTTCCGTTTCCCCCATTTTCCTCCCCTCCCCCTATTTTTTTCAACACATAATCCAAACCATATACAAATTAGAAAAAAATATAACTCAGTACTCACTGCAGTGTGTGGCAGAGAGCGCATTTTCTCGTCGACGAAAACATGAAGTCACGGACGGACAGACAGACGGACATGGCGAGCACAATAGTGCATTTTTTCATAAATGAGAAAATGCGCTAAAAAGTCCTCTAGAGTCGCTAGATACATATGGTCTTTACAAATCGAATGATACGTCTATCAATTCTGTAGCTTGAAAATCATTGGAGATAAATTCTTAAGGTGGTGGATTTTGGAAATTTCATTTGTTCCACGGAATCAAATATGTATAACATTAATAGAAAAAAAAAGAAGAATATGCTAAAAAAAATGCTTGATACGGCAGCCCCAGCTTTCCCATTGCCAATTACTCGTATTGAGGGCACCATCACGCGTCTTCAGACTTATCCTTGTCCAATCATTTGCATTGGGATTTTTGCTTAATGCTTTCGATTTGTAATAGTTCTCCCACAAAATGAGATGACAAAGACGGAGAACGTATAATTTCATACATTTCTTAAGAGACTCCACACCCCTGCTGAGTCGCGTTAGTTTGAGCACTGTACCCAGGGGGCGCACGTATGAGTAGCGTACCCAGGACGCTCACGTACGAGCTGCGTACCCAGGACGCTCACGTATGAGCAAACGTACCCAGGACGCTCACGTGTGAGCTGCGTACCCAGGATGCTCACGTATGAGCTGCGTACCCAGGACGCTCACGTATGTGCCACGTACCCAGGACGCTCACGTATGAGCTGCGTACCCAGGACGCTCACGTACGAGCTGCGTACCAAAAACGCTCACGTATGAGCAAACGTACCCAGGATGCTCACGTATGAGCTGCGTACCCAGGTCGCTCACGTATGAGTTGCGTACCCAAAACGCTCACGTATGAGCAAACGTACCCAGGACGCTCACGTATGAGCTGCGTGCCCAGGACGCTCACGTATGAGCTGCGTACCCAAAACGCTCATGTATGAGCAAACGTACCCAAAACGCTCACGTATGAGCAAACGTACCCAGGACGCTCACGTACGAGCAACGTACCAGGACGCTCACGTATGAATCGTGTACCCAGGACGCTCACGTATGAGCGCACGTACCCATGCAGGACGCTCACGTATGAGTCACGTATGTGCCACGTACCCAGGACGCTCACGTATGAGCTGCGTACCCAGGACGCTCACGTATGAGCTGCGTACCCAGGACGCTCACGTATGAGCGCACGTACCTAGTACGTCGAGAGCCTCAGGACACTGCTGGGTCTCCTGCGCGAAGAGGAGGTAGTCTTGGCTCGAGGCGCGGTACTCGTAAGTGAAGTTGTAGTCGCAGCCTGTGCTCTCGTCCACGAAGGTGCACAGCCTCGCCCCTGCCTCCACTTGGGCTGTGTACGACCAATCACAGACTCGTTAGTTGCTATCGTGGAGCCGAACTATTATTAATATCACATTATCGATAATACATTATTATTATCATATTATCAATAATATAACTCAGTACTCATTGCAGTCAGTGACAGAGAGAGCATTTCTGGTCAACGAAAAAGTGAAGTAACTGACGGACAGACAGACAGACGGACGGACAGACGGAGATGGCGAGCAAAACCTTTTTCCATAAATGAGAAAATGCGCTAAAAATAATTAAGTGTTTAACTCTGTCAGCCAATCACTGACTTTTTAATGCATAAAAACCCACCAATTACAGACGAGAAATTGGCAGCTGCGTGCACTTCAGCGAGTTCAGCTGCGAGCACGACTCTTGGACCTAATTATCTAAACTTTATTGAAAACCAACGGCAAATAATATATAATATAATAATAGCGGTTTCGGCGTTCATTAGGCTATAGGCCTGTCGCCGATTCTTAACATCGCAGAACATCCACAACTTGTTGCGGTCTCGAACTCACAACTCACTGATTCAATTCTGCTGTGCTTAACCGCCCGGCCTACTCGCCGATTCTGACCATAAACTGGCGCACAGAGCTGGGATCGAACCCGCGCCTCTCTGCGCCAATTCTGATACTCTGAACTTTAACCACTGGGCCACCCTGGAACTTAATAATTATAATTATTCTAACTGCGTTATACATTTGAGGTTGGAAATGACTTTAAAGCTCAGATTTTTTTTTAGTTAACGGCAATAAATTATAAAAAGTAATAATAATAATAATAGTACCGTCCAGGTTGGACAGAACTCGCGGCCTGGAGGTGCAATTGCTGCAGGCGCTGCCCGCCAGCGGCCCCGTCCTGAACACGCGACACTGCACGCAGTCCCTGAATTCCAGACACTTGCCGCTCGAACACGTCTGGGGACACACGGATACAGCTGAAGAAACGTAAAGAATACGTCTGTGGACACAAGAATACGTCTGGGGACACACGGATACGGCTGAAGAAACGTAAAGAATACGTCTGGGGACACAAGAATACGTCTGGGGACACACGGATAAGGCTGGGAAAACGTCAAGAATACGTCTGGGGACACATGGATACGGCTGGGGACACACGGATAAGGCTGGGAAAACGTCAAGAATACGTCTGGGGACACATGTATACGGCTGTGGACATACGTCAAGAATACGTCTGGGGACACGTCAAGAACACGTCTGTTGAGGGACTCACGTTAAGAACACGTCTGGGGACACACGTCAAGAATACGGCTGGGGACATAAGTTAATTAAGCGATGCTTTAAAGTGGCCATAGTATCGGGGAAGATGGTAATACTTAAAATTATTGCTACGATATTTCCATGTTGTAATAAATATGGGAAAACTTCATAACGAAAATTCAGCAGTTGTATTTGCTCCAGTTTGTGTCAAGGTGATCATAAGAACTTGATTATCATCAAATACGAGCAGTGTTTAATGAGCTTCGAATGTTGAATCAATGATAAAAATTCCATTCATGAGCATTAAGTTCGTTGCTCCTGTAAAGTTTAATTCAGAGAAAAGACTATCTATATTACTCTAGAATAATAATTAAGAATCTGTTCTCAGCAGTTGAAATTCATAGTAAAGAATCCACTTTTGATTATCTAAATAATCAATTTTAATTCAACAGGGTCAGCAAAACAAATGCTTCTTTTTCCTCACATTGTATGATTGTTAACCTGTTTCTAATTACGAAAAAAAGTTCCGCATTTGCGCCAGGCTCAACTGATAGATAAAACATGCGTGCTTTAGTAGAAAGTTACTTAAAGAGTTAAATGGAAAATTGTGCTTTGAATTTATTAAATCTACGGAATGTACAGCGAACATTGAACTACTTTTATGTGGGGAGAAAGGCTATTCCTTTACAAAAAAGCTACGGCATTTGCAGAGATATTTTACTTGTTAAAATCAGAGGGTGTATGACTGTCAAGACCCAAAAGCTGAAATCGGAATCGCAGAAGTACACAATAAGTCAATGTTGTCCAAGTAAAAAAACAAAACTTGAAAAATGTTCAAATTCAAAAGTCACACGGCAGAGAGAAAAACGAAGAAACAAAATCTGCTGGAGGAAACTTAAGTCGTCGCTTGCTTTGAAACTCGTCAAAACAATTTAGCGGTGGCGTTGACATATGTATCAGACTATGTTGTTTATCCTTTTTAGCGCATTTTCTCATTTATGGAAAAATGCACTTTTGTGCTCGCCATGTCCGTCCGTTTGTCTGTCCGTCCGTGACTTCACGTTCTCGTGGACGAGAAAATGCGCTCTCTGTCACTCACTGCAGTGAGTACTAAGTTATATTTTTTTGAGGATGTAGAGTCACAGAGGACGCTCTAAAATGATCAGTTGAGTCTTAACAGTCAGTGTCGACCTGTCAAGTACAACTCACGGAACATTCCTCGCAGTATCGTCCGGTGTAGAGAACGTCGTCGATGCTGTGGCAGGAACAGACTCCACAAGCGCACTCACCGCGTCCAGAACACTCGTCGAATGTTCCTGAGATGGCGACAGTGATGTTTATAGATGTTGGTACGTGGTCAACATCGAAAATAATACTATGCAACGAGTTCGTATAATCTATTGTATCTAAATTCAGTCTTACATTTATTATATGAAAATACAAACTTTACATATAGAGCAAGATTATGTTATGAGTGCTGCCGAATCCCATGAGTGATACTGTTAATTGTTAAAGCTGTGCGAGGTAAATAAATATACTCTAAAACCTGACCGTGATTTGTCTATGCATAATCCGACACAAAATATGATGTATTGGCCGAATAATTCTAATCTGCGGAGGTCAGGGATATTACTTCTACTATAGAAGGCGATGCAGTAATTCTCGTCACACTTGTAATGTATTCAACACATAAGCAGCATAATGTCCGGTATTTAGAGTTGACTACATATCTCGAAATGCCTATAGAATTTAATACATCATTCATTGCAAACGATAAATAATTTTTTACTCCAATGATGTATTATATTTAACACATTGTCCACCTACCATGACACTCATCTATATTACATGGAGATAGTTACCTGGCATGATACATGACTGCGCGTCGGGGCATTCACAGAATTTGCCCGACCATCCCTGATGGCACGCACACACTCCACAATCACACCTGCCCCGCCCGCTGCAGGGCTCTGACTGGCCCGTCATGCCGGTTGAGGCCAGACACAAGTTGGAGTTACACTCGCAGTATTTGCCGCTCAGCGACTGCGACACCAAAACATAGGAAACGTGAGTTATTTCTGATTAGAAATTTAGTTCATGATAAATATGCAAACATGAAATGAGGATATATTTGCATTTATTTACCTTTTTATATCCTATAGTATCTATGAGTTCGAGCTATCTTAGTATCTATGAGCGTTCTTATAGAAGAAGGCATATTTTATAAGAAGCGATCGAAGCTTCCCGTGAGAAAATTAATACGACATCGACGCGAATTATGTGTGATTACTAAATTAATTCAAGTAATTATCACATGAAGAATACAGAATTTCGAGAAGATGGATATGATTCCTCTAATTCTATAGTGTGGTTTGTAGTAAAGATGTACTATTTAAGTCTTTATTGTATTATATGTGCTATATAGTATGACAGCTGTGGACATTCATTGAGGTAATTAAGCCATAGTTCAGCTCTGGGCTGTGACAATAATGACATAATACTGTACTTTTGTTGTAATGATGCTGAATACTGCCATAGTTACATTAATATGATGACGCTGTGGCACAATGTAACTATGATGGAACTATGTTGTACTGTGACATTAAATAATACACGTAACTGTGATGTGTTGTGGTTTGATGTGTTGTGGTGTGATGTGTTGTGGTGTGATGTGTTGTGGTGTGATGTGTTGTGGTGTGATGTGTTGTGGTGTGTCGTGGTGTGATGCATTATGTTGTGGTGTAGTGTGGTATGGCGTGGTATGGTGTCAGCACCCACGGGGCTGTTGCAGATGCACTCCCCACACTCGCAGACCCCCTGGCCGGAGCACACCTCCCCCTCCTTGGGGTCAGCCAGGCATTGAGCCGCGTTCTCGGCGCTGCTCACGATGACAGCAATCATTAGTAAAAATACAATAATTTTTAATAAAAACAATCATTATTGAAAACAACCATCATCATTATAAACGCAATCAATATTAATTGCAACAGTCATTAATAATACCAACAATCATTTTAAAAATCATTTTTATTGCATTTTCCATTTTCTCATTTAGGGGAAAAAAATGCGCTATTGTGCTCGTCATGTTCGTCTGTCCGTGACTTCACGTCACGGACGGACGAGAAATGCGCTTTTTGTCACTCACTGCATTGATTAGTGATCTAATTTTTTTCATCTATTTGTCGCTTGGAAATAGGCTCCAAGAAGAATTTTTATGTTCTGTGTCTACACTGACCTAGTATTGGTACTTTTGGTTATATTACAGCTACACTGATCTAGTGCTAGTATCTTTGATTATATTACTGCTATACTGATCTTGTTCTCAATATAAAAACTTCTATCACAGCAACACTGACCTGTTGTCGGTGTCCCTAGATCTATCCCTGCTACACTGACACTTGTTGCCGTAGTAGAGGTCAGGACACTGACACACTCCACACTGCAGTGTGCCGACCCCTGAACACTGAGCAGAATTGGGCTCGCGACCCTGAAAAGAAAGAAATTTTAATTATGATAATCAGAACGAAGCAAAGATAAATTAACTGCGATAATCTGAACGAATCAACAATACGTAAAATATGATAAGTGAAGTGAAAACGATAAATATAATATAATAATATTGCTCGGGTAATAACTCATCTTATTTGCCTCCAATTGCAATGTTTTTTTTTTAACTCGTTCAATAAATTCTGCTTCGTGGTGTAAGTTCTCTGCAAGCATCATTTGACGTCGGGGATTCGAGATTTGATTTAATTAATTAAAGGTCAAGGAAATTGGAACGATTTTAAAATTGATATCGTTTGGTCATTTGGAATCATTGATATTGAAAACGTGACTTGTAATATTTCATGTCCTCTGCCAACTTCACTCTAAACGTAAAAAATGTGTTTCCTCAACAGTGAGAACTGAATATTATTTAGCACCTTATTATATTTTTATAAGACGAGGTAATTACATGTCTGTTATTATTTATTATTAAATTAAGGGAATGACATGGTTTTTACTATTTATGAATTCATTATAACTACAGTGATGCTACATCAGTGGGAAGTGTATGAAGCACATTTGTACTGAGTGATTGAGAGTACTGCGTCCGACTCACCGGTGCAGTGGACAGTTAACACTCGCCGGTGCAGTGGACAGTTAACACTCACCGGTGCAGTGGGCAGTTAACACTCACCGGTGCAGTGGGCAGTTAACACTCACCGGTGCAGTAGGCAGTAACACTCACCGGTGCAGTGGGCAGTTAACACTCACCGGTGCAGTGGGCAGTCAACACTCACCGGTGCAGTGGGCAGTTAACACTCACCGGTGCAGTAGGCAGCTCGCAGTCACAGTTCGCCAGTAGCTGCACCTGTAGAGTCAGGGTGTCCTGGAAGGTGGTGATGTTCACCGTGAAGCTGCGACGCGCCTCATCCTCGGGTATGTCCTCAGCCTGCAATAATCTTCCGGGAATTGCAACCAAAAACAGGACCAAATTTATTGCAATAAATGAATATATTTTTAATTTTTTGTGTTATCATATCAAAATTATTAGCCATTAATGCTAATTGATTATTTAAGAAAATGCAATATTAATATTTGGTATTTTCTTTGCTTTAAAGATAAAAAATGAACCCCTCCTCTATCACTCTTGCATGTCAATGTATTTATTTTAATACAAGAATATTTGTTACTTCTATGACCAAATGATTCACCCTTCTATTGTCACCTTTACCCGCATCACACTCCCATCCCTACCATCACATCACTGCTCTCCCCCATAAATATAAAATATTTTTCTCGTATAGTCATTTTTTTTTGCTGTTAAAAACATAACAATGTAGCTCCTCTATCACACCCCTACAACCCTAATCCTACCCTCCCCACACATCATCACCTCCCTTCCCTCCTCACGGTAATCTGGGCGATGAACTCGACCTCGTCGCCCTCCTTGATGCCCCTGCACGACGCCGTGAGTCGGGGGGCGGCGCCCTTGTCCAGACAGCTGCTGAAATACCGGATGGACAGCGGCGTGCCAGGGATGGTGGACGAAGTGTCCGTCAGTTTCACTTCCGAGCTGATCAGCTGAACATGGTGGCAACATGATGAGCTTGCATGCAACATAGTTTGAGGGTAAATTGATTAATTACTTAAGTTATGAATTCATCTGAAAGTTAGGGTGCAGGTGTTGAGAAGGTTGGGGATGTGGGATCAAGCGAAGCAGTGTGTATAAGAAGAGATTCTTTCGAGACCATGAGACCGAGTTTGTCTATATTGTACGTTGGCGAGCTTATCGCCAGGTAAATTTCATGAGGGTAGACGTATATAAGGAGTATAAATATACGCTAGGGAATTTCTTCTAAAGTCATGGTTGCGCAAGCGACCACGGCCATCGGCCATCGGTCATGGCGGTCATCTGCCACCGTCGGCATCGGCCGCTTCGCCCGTTTTTGAACATTAACGGTCACGAAAAACTTTTATTCATTGATACAACTACGGCCCCTTTAAAGCAGCGTAGATAACCTACAAGTAACGGCCACGACTACGTCATATTCATGACCGACCGATATTAGGATTACGGCCGTGACTCAATCGTGCGGCAACACAAAAATGTACGCAAATTCTGGAGTCGGCAATAACATAAAAGAAGCAATGCACTGAGCAGCAATTAACGTCTCGGGTCAAAGCAGTTGCGGGACGGCCCAAGATGGAAATAACAATATATGATTGCAAACACGGCACTTATATACCAAAGAACGATCACCAATAACTGCTGCGGAACGACAATCACGACACAGGTACTTTGAACAACATGGGCATCAGGACGGTCGACAGAGTAAGTAACGATACGACAGTCGTGATAGTCTGCTGCTGTCCAGCATAGCCCTCACATTACCCTCCCTATCCCTCACATTACACTCGCCCCTCACATTGTACTGGTCCCTCACTTGTCCCTCACATTGTACTGGTCCCTCACGAGGGCCACGACATTAGACGAGCTGCTGTCCAGCATACCCTTGACATTACCCTCCTTTACCCTCACATTGCACTGGTCCCTCATTTGTCCCTCACATTGTACTGATCCCTCACATTGTACTGGTCCCTCACATTGTACTGGTCCCTGACGAGGGCCACGACGTTAGATGAGCTGCTGTCCAGCATAGCCCTCACATTACCCTCCTTGTCCCTCACCTTGTACTGGTCCCTCACTTGTCCCTCACATTGTACTGGTCCCTCACATTGTACTGGTCCCTGACGAGGGCCACGACGTTAGAAGAGCTGCTGTCGAGCATGCCGTGGGAGGAGTAGGCGATCTGGTCGCTGAGCGCCTTGTAGAGCTCGCCGTGCCGCGACACCGCGAAGATGATGTTGACTTGGTTGTCCCGGGCAGCTGCGTTGATCTGTACACTCAGATAAATAGATGGGACTATAGTACAAGTGAAGATGATGTTGACTTGGTTGTCCCGGGCCGCTGCGTTGATCTGTACACTCAGATAAATAAGTGGGACTATAGTACAAGTGAAGATGATGTTGACTTGGTTGTCCCGGGCCGCTGCGTTGATCTGTACACTCAGATAAATAAGAGGGACTATAGTACAAGTGAAGATGATGTTGACTTGATTGTCCCGGGCAGCTGCGTTGATCTGTACACTCAGATAAATGAGTGGGACTATAGTACAAGTGAAGATGATGTTGACTTGATTGTCCCGGGCCGCTGCGTTGATCTGTACACTCAGATAAATAGATGGGACTACAGTACAAGTGAAGATGATGTTGACTTGGTTGTCCCGGGCCGCTGCGTTGATCTGTACACTCAGATAAATGAGTGGGAATATAGTACAAGTGAAGATGATGTTGACTTGGTTGTCCCGCGCCGCCGCGTTGATCTGTACACTCAGATAAATAAGTGAGGCTATTGTTCAAATAGTAATGCACTTATTGACCTTGCGTGTGATATCTTAACCCAGTTTGGTCCGGCAAATGGCATGTCAGCGCGACGTGCTCGTGTTGTGGTAGAGAAAATCGGCAATAATTTGGACAATATTTACTATTGATTTTTCTATGTGTGGCTCACGTGCCGTTCCATGATAATGTCTCAAATTAGTTGCAGGTTTTTTTATAGTTAATAATGATTTAACTGTTGGTAATTTATTACGTATCTCTCTTTCGCTATTGTAACTGTGTGTAAATAAATTAAACTTACCTTATGTGCACAAGAAAGCAATTGATTTTTGTGAGAACGCTGCAAGAAATTGTGATGAACAATATCGCATTTTTTTTTCAAATGGAAATAGGCGAATAAATTTAAAACAATCTTATGCGAAACTTCCACAGAAGCTCTAGGTTACAACTACCACCACCTGAGCACCAGCCTACCACCACATGAGCACCAGACTATCACCACCTGAGCACCAGCCTACCAGCACCTGAGCACTAGCCTACCACCAACCGAGCACCAGCCTACCACCACCTGAGCACCAGCCTACCACCACCTAGCACCAGCCCACCACCACCTGAGCACCAGCCTACCACCACCTGAGAACCACCTGCGCAATGGACGGGTAGTCGAGGCGATCGTAGTGCGTGTACTCGCCGGTGGCGTTGAGGTAGCAGCGGCCGTCGTGTGGTGTCACGATGCCCGCCAGCTGCCACGACATCATAAAAACATTAATACTTTTGATGATGAATGGAAGCCTACACTTGTACATGATATGAAAATATAAATTGCATTCGAAATGTTTCGTGTAGAATTTCCTATTCTATTAGTAATGTCTGTGCTTGGAAACTATTAATGCCTTTAATGGTGAACCTACACTTATACACGATATGAAAATATGAATAAAATTCGAAAAAATCATAATGCATTAATTTGAAATTTTTGGCGGAATAAAAGTATGAATACTTATTAGGTGGTTAGGAAAACTTCATTAATAGGAATTTAAAAGCAGGATCGGAATGTTAACTTTGGTGCAGGATTAAAGTTAAAAAAAAGTGATATGAAAGAGAATGCAACGAAAAAATTTTCATTAATGCGCATTACGCTATAAGGAAATCTCGATTTAACATATTAATTTCAAGTAGAAATCCGTATCAAATTTTCAATTGACTCCAAACTAGTTTCCTGTACATTTTGCATAACATTCAAAGCGATTCATATGAACGTCAATACAAGATGTTAGGGTGAATTGAAAACGCGTCTGAAACTTCCGTATCAAAAGTTTTCAAACATGACTGCTTGAATGTCATCTAAATATTGTTTTCCTGCTATACCACTCATACACATCTTCCCATACAGATACTATTCATACGTGTCCTTAGGTATCTACCTTTCATACACTTATGGTATAACAAAAAAGTATCGTTATGCAATGCCCCGATCTTCTACGACTGGCGATAGCTGAGGCCCTCATCATTAAGGAGAGGACTCCAGCTATCAACCTTCAAACCACCGGCTTCGTCAAAACTTTGAGATTGTTTTCTGAGTAGTTTTTTGCGCTTGTAAAATATTCCTGTAGTATCACATTAACGAAATTTTAGCATTATTTGAATGGTATCCAATTTACTTGATTTCGTAAATATGTCAACCCAAATTTCGTTACTCAATGCGTCTTTAACTTGAAAATGAATGTTGTACATTCGAAACATCGTTCAATATAAAAATGTCTATCGGTAATTTAATTTTCAATCTTCCAACACCTACGAAGAATTTAGTACGACTTATTGAAAAAACTAACAAGAAGCTAATAAATAAAACTAATTCTCTGGTCTTTAACAAAACTTGTTTATGGTATAACGTGTATAGTGTCTTATACAGAGCTGTACACAAGCCAACAGAGTCGTGATTCTAGCTCGGCACTCTGGGAATAAATACGATGAACCACGAGTTTTATCCATCTTACGTGCAGTGGAATGAAGTTGTTCTAGAGCGCGTTAATTGAAACGTTGCTATTTCCCATACTTTGATAATGGGACCCGGGACCATGACAAAAGAATGAAAAACTCTGTTCGTGAAATGCTGTCCGAGTGTTTATCATCGTGTTCTGTTGATGAATAATTTTTAAAAATTTTCTACCTTCAGGCATAAAGATATTCTCACTCTACTGTTGTGACTAATGCGAATTTGTTTGTCGGAATATAACGTCACGCAACCTTCATTCAAGGTTGATGGAGCATTAACAAAGGAGTTGTAGAAAAAGACATTTACTAGAGAATCCCTCTCATTCGCCTGTGCGCATTCACGCTGAGCGGCGTAACTTTCCTGTATCCAACTGAGACAGGATATGAAATTTTTCTCTCCACTCTCAATTCTTTCTCACCTGATAATTCTAGAATATTTGAAAATTTTTAAACAGAAGCTTAGTTTTAATGCCACATTTCGTTCACAGCCACTTGAAATTGTAGATAGATATGTTTTCCTGCTCGTTGCCATGCCTTTTATTTGTCAATATAAGTTTTAAAATTGATTTTCGAATTTCGTCTGTCCACACAGATTGTACTTGTATCCTAAAAATTTCTAACTGGCAATTAGGCAGGAATCTGAAACGTTTTCCATTAAGACGAGAGAATTTTTGTGGCTTTTTATTTGCTTTAGAACACCTTATGTAGGGTCAACATAGGAATTACCTTTCAACATTCGTCGCAGTGGAGGATTCTAAATATTCAAGTGATAGAATAAGACGTAAATAGTATCAAGATAAGTAATTACCCTTCCGTCTCCGGCGTGGTGGAAGGTAGCGTCTGTGGAGAGGATGAGAAGGCGCCTCGCCTGCTTCCTCCACCCGATCTGCTCCCAGCAGACCATCGCCTGCAGCAGCGCGTCCAGGCCTCCTTCAGGGGCGTCCACGTTGCCTGAGATTGGGGTCTTGCGCACGTACTCCTGATAGGGGCGGGTGAAGTGTGGGTGAGGAGTAACATGACGTGAAGCGGGGATAGTAGATATATGCTTGTCAGGTGTAGAGCAGGCAATGTAGAGGCAGGGGTGACATGAAGTGTAGCGGTATAAAAAAGTCAAGTGTGCAGGGTGTAGAACGGGCAATGTAGGGGAAGGATGAGACGGGGATAATAAGCAGCAAAATTAAGCTGCTCTACACCCCCTGTCACCCATGCCACCTACATTACCTGCTTTACACTCCCTGTCACTCCTGACAGCCATTATAACTGCAGGCAATGTCGGTGTACGGGGGGATAAGGGTGTAAAGTAGCAGTAGGTGACAGGGTGATGTAGAGTAAGTATAAGGGAAGTAGGTAGGTACCAGAAGTGACAAGAGTGTAGGGTAGGTAGAATAAAGGTTAAGTTCATAATATCAGAATGTGGAGACAAAGTGGATAAGTGCAATGGACAGTGCTGGAGAAAAAGCACAAAGATTGTCGAAAATTAGTATGGAACGATGATCAATGAGATATTTCTCAATCGGCAAATGTCGCAATTATTCCTAGGCCCTTACGGTGAACTTGCGGTAGTCGGCGTCGAGTGGGAGGTTGTTCCGGAAGGAGTACGGGGTAGCGCAGTCGGTGCACGGGCTCTGTATCCTGCGGGAAGTAGAGAGGGTGGTAGAGAGGGTGGTAGATAAGGTGGTAGAAAGGGTGGTAGAGAGGGTGGCAGAGAGGGTGGCAGAGAGGGTGGCAGAGAGGGTGGTATAGAGGGTTGGTAAAGAGGGTGGCAGAGAGGCTGGTAGAGAGCGTGGGAGAGAAAGTTGTAGAGAGGGTCGTAGAGAGGGTCGTAGAGAGGGTCGTAGAGATGGTCGTAGAGAGGGTGGTAGTGAGGGTGGAATGATTGCTTTCAGGCGAACGTATACACAGATTTTAAGTGTGAAATCAATACCTGGTTTCATGATCGAGGGTCAGGAATTTGGGAAACCAAAAGAACTTATTGGAGTGATGTCTTAGAAATGGTTATTTAGAAGTGATGCATAACGTTGGCACTGATCTCACCTGTCTGGGTGGTGGCTGGCTATGATTTTACCAGTCTGGGTGGTGGCTGGCTGTGATCTCACCTGTCTGGTGAACGCTGGATGTGATCTCACCTGAGTGGGTGGATGTTGGCGTAAGGCATGACGACTTTGTCGACGTAGGAGCCGAAGCCGAGCTTGAACTGCGAGGTGAGGTTGCGCATCGTCTCGGCCAGGGACTTGCCGAGGTTGGCGAGGTTTTCCTTGTCGTCCCTCATGGAGTTGCTGAGGTCCATGAGGTAGTACAGGTCAACGGGATAGTCCATCGCCAGACGGAACCGCACCGAGATGTTGTACGGCTCGCCTGCGCCGGGATATTGTATAATAATATTGTATAATAATACTTGTAGTAATGAATTGAGTGATACGATTATTTAGATGAGAAATATAGCAAGATAAGTTAGTGAGGTCGGGCTGGGAGGTGCTGCATTCACCAAATGCCTTAATTAAGTCAAATAAAAATTTATTTCGAGGTTCATCACAGAGGCAGCATACGTAATGAAATTCTTCTATGGTATATCAGATTTCAGAATTCTTCTATGGTATGCGTTTAAACAACTGAACCTAAACAAATATATTTCTGTAATGATGATGCGAGCTGCATGGAAAACATGAGGAAGCGTAATAACGTTATAATGAAGTCATTATAGAATATCGCTTACTGCTCAGCATATTATAATATCACTCATTTGTCTCGTACCTTTCCTGAGCTGGAGGTAGATGGCTTGTGGCGCTAGCTGTACGATGTCACGGCTCGTTTGCTCGCTTTTCAGCACCTCTGCTCGGACAAACTTTACATTAAATTGCTTCCAACAAGTTTCCTCTGATGATCATTACGCGGTGACATTCAACACTTTTTGGATACAGTAATAATAATTATAATGAATTTCATGATTGGTTGAACAGAGCAGACGATACACCCAGCCTGTTCAAGTATACTGTAGAATTGATTTTAATGTTTAAGGAGATAATAGCTTGCTTTTCATGTACTGAAAAATTCTTAACATGATGCAACGGAAGAAAAGCAAAAATCCATGTACAGATCATCTATTTAATATCTAAGTAATGTATAGATGTGACTTCTAAGTAAGCCTATATATGGGTTAATTTAATTACACCGTATGTTATTACATATGTTCAACAGATTTTTTTACAATGGAAAGAATGTTCACAATGTCCCAAGTGAAGCATAAATCTCTAAGTTTAAGTTGAAATCAAAGAAGTGGTTCCCAAAGTGTGCGATAGCGCCCCCCTGGGGGCAGTGGAAAGATCTGGGGGGGGGGGGCGGTGAGGAAAATGCACCTGTTAACGGGCGGTTGGTCAGGACTTTATGCACCTGTTAACGGGCGGTTGGTCAGGACTTGGTGTTTGTTCTGTGGGTTGACGATGCTGCTGCAGGTGTTGCTGTTGAGACTGCTGCTGCAACGGTTCCTGTTGCTGCTGTTGCCCTGACATGGTAACAGACACGTTGAATGTGTTTGCTTCAATACAGACTAAACTCTGTCATCCTCAACAGAGATGTACAGTAGCTAACAGAGACCTGGTAACAGAACTGTAGGCGTTGGTGAAAGTAGTAGAAAAGTTGTAAACAAAAGTGAATTTATTATCGTAAAATACACGAGAATTCGTGTATTACAAATAAATTGTCGTCAGATTAATTATTGTTTGTTTACATTTTCCTACTGGTCACACGTAATAATCGTAAGTTCATGAACATTAAGTATACATAAGTCAAAGTTTCCTGCAACTTGAATAAATTCGCATCGACTCAAATCAAATTAATATATATATATATATGAGAGTGACCAAAATCAGATCAGAATGCAATATATTATTTCTAGCATTTTACTATTTGCGCATGTCTCTGTAATATTCGTGTAGTTCACGCCAGAGTTACACGAAGAAGGTACCAAATATAAATAATCGAACACGATCGAGCTACCGTAAAGATCTTTATTTTTGTAGCAGAGTTGGACTCGCAATTATGAGATGAAATAAAACATTAACGAAAACGTTCGTTAGTTTCAGCGAGTTTCAGAGCTTGTCAGTTCATTCAATGGCAATAATAATAATAATAATTCAATAATAATAATAATAATAATAATTCAATGACAATGGCAATAAAATATGTGGCTACGTGAAGTCAAGTCAAGAGGCAATATTTCCATATCACTTCTAGCAGGGATGACGATACTATCTTTGCTTCAATATTTAATCCCATTATTCCATATCCATTCTAAAAGATCACATGCCTAAGTGTAATTGAGAGTGGTAATTGAAGTGATTATTTGGTAATCAGTATGAAGCAGTAAAAGGTTTAATGTATTGCAATTTTTTAAATAAACGAACCCACTTTACATTTTGATATCGGTATTTATCACTTCTTTAAGTTTTCATTACGAACGTGTTTCTAAAGTCTGACATTTTACAGTACATTTATGAATGGCCAGTATTATTGTATTAAGTTCTACCGAGTAGACGAGCTGCAAGTTCTACCGAGTAGACGAGCAGCAAGTTCTACCGAGTAGACGAGCAGCAAGTTCTACCGAGTAGACGAGTAGCAAGTTCTACCGAGTAGACGAGGCAAGTTCTACCGAGTAGACGAGCAGCAAGTTCTACCGAGTAGACGAGCAGCAAGTTCTACCGAGTAGACGAGCAGCAAGTTCTTGATTCGAAACCCGCAACTAGATGTAAATATTCTGGTCGTAATCGGCTAGGTAGCCCGCCGGTTAAGAATCGGTGACAGATCAACAGTGCTTATTTAACGCTAACACTATAATATACCATTACTTAATATTAAAACTTACACTGCAATATTATTATTATTATTACATATTAATAAAGCTGACACAACAATTTTATTATTATTATTTGAGATTAAACAAAACTCACAGCAAACGCGCTGCACCACTGGCAGCCTGGAGCCTGGATGCAGCTGCTGCACGAGTCATCGTACGTCTGGCAGCGCCGGTCCCCCAACATCTGACCATCGGTGGTATGGTGGGCAACCACCACGACCACCAACAACCATCGCCACATATCGCCAACCATTGTATTCTCGATTGTGTTATGGCCAAACTATATATGATCTATGTTAATATCTGAAAATTAGGAATACATCGATTTGCTGATGAATAATTTATGATATAGGCTATTTGGAGTGCGAATTTAGAACATTAGAACAGTGAGATAATGAATGTTGTACTGATAAAAACTATGCTGAATATATTTCACGAATTCGGAACGAAAGAATTTGCGAAGTTCACAGCAGGGAAATTGTAAATAGACTGTTTCAGGGGGGAATCGAAATCTTGGAGCACCCATTATACACTGACAGCAATAAGTGCTCTAAGCTACTGCAGTGTAGAACAGTGCACACTGACAGCATACCAACCTACACTGTGATCAGCATACACACTGTGGCCGCACACTGAACACTGACGTTAAGGTTTAAACTCTTCACACAGTCATCACACAGCTCACACTGCCATCACACAGCTCACACTGCCATCACACAGCTCACACAGTCATCACACAGCTCACACTGCCATCACACAGCTCACACTGCCATCACACAGCTCACACTGTCATCACACAGCTCACACTGTCATCACACAGGTTTACACAGCCAGATACAATAATAAGAATCTTCAGGTTAGTGGTTGTTAACTTAAACCATTTATGACACATGTGACGTGAGATGAGTTACGTTGAAGGACAAAAGCGCTGTACATTACCAGCCCACATCGTACTTATGTTACAGGATTTCCTTTGCCTGAGCTTCTTAGGATATTGGAACCTTGATAAGCGCGAGTCTTGTGCTGCTGCTGATACTGGTGATGTCGAGAGCCTGCATGCTGATGATGTTGTTTTAATGATGTTTCTGTTGATGCTGCTGCCTTTAGTGATGATGATGGGTCGATGAAGTTCATTGTTGATGTTGCACTTTAGAGACAATCGAAGCTATCAAACGAGGAATCAGACGTTTGGGCGGAAATTGCATTTCATCACTATTCATGTTTGAATTTTTCGAAGTGCTGAACAAATACTTAACTTTCACTGTGAAATAAAATGCTCTATAGATTACCATTTGCTAGATAAGTGTTGTGTTTAACGGGTTTTAGTTTTTTTAGGGGTTTCAACGGGTTTTAGTCCTTGGTTAAAACAAACTCGAATACCTGTAGCCTGTAGCCGTACTATTGTAGCCTGTACAGCTACTACTACTATTATTGTACCTATACAGCTACTACTACTATATTGTAGCTGCAGCTGTACTATTGCGGTGAATGTCAACGAACCAGGGACTTAAGTGCTCGAGTGACATGACGCGTGAAGGAACAGAAATTTTACTTAAAATGTGTAAGAAATTTGCATAATGTAAAAAATTGATAACAAAAAGTATAGTATTATGAGTCTGTCAGCATGAATTTTTATATTTTCATGTCAATTGGATTATTGATGCATTTTTCCGCGACGATTTTTAGAACTCGTATACAGACCAACTCTCGTCTGCGCGCCCACAGAGCCAAATACAGGCAAAGGTAATGAACGCCACGATCCAAACACAGTTTCTGATCTTACTGACGAAATGTTTCATAAGTTCAGCGTTGAAAAAATGCTTGAAGATACGTCGGCCTAAATCAGTAAACCGCAAAATTCAGTGTAATTTTTATTCATGGGAGGGGGCCATCAAATATCTAGAATAGAATAGAAGTGTCGGCATTGAAGAATTAGGCCCATGGCCTGTTGCCGATTCTTGACCTTTTTTAGACTTGATTTACAAAGGGATCCGGCCTTTGGAACCCGATCTTTCCATAGCTGACGATTGATGAAGATAGCTGCTGGACTTATTGCCTGGTCCGTAATTTGCTAGGCATTTTAAGACCGAACATATGCTCCTGCATAGCTTCGTTTAGTCTTTTTTTGAAGATGTTCATACTCGGAGCGTCAACGATGCTATCAGGGAGGCTGTTCCACATGTCGGTGACTCGAAGCGAAAAGAAATGTTGTCGCATGGATGTGTTCCAACGCTGTTTTTTTAGTTTATAGCCGTGGCCCCTGGTGTTGGTTCTTGTTTTAAATTCTAGTAATTGGATACATTCCAGTTTTCTTTATATCTCAAGTTAAAGTGCAAGATTTTACCTAATATATGGTCAGTTATTGCTAACAATACTAGAAACATTAAAGAAAGATGATATTGAAAAGTAAGCCGTGTTTAGATTTTATTCAACAAATAATCGAATAAACAAATTTTTACAATAATAATCCGTACCATGGTACTTCGCATCATTATGGTTTTCGCTCCTGTTATATTTGCTTTAAAATCAAGTACCGGTATTTATTTTTGCCTTTTTATTATCATATAAATTATAATTTTTACAATCACAGTAATGATAATTTAAATCAGTAATTCAGTATGATAATAATTCAGTGGGCTGATATTAATATTCAGTTTGATATTAATATTACAGATTATTAAAGCAATGTGCAATGTGTTGTTGTAATTTTTAGACTTTAAAAAATGTCTACAGAAATAGAATATCAATTTAAATGCATGTCTTAACCGTTTTTTATGAATTTCTGATAAAAATTTACACATTTACATGAATATTCTCATTACTGCACAGATCTTGTACGTATAGAATTTAAATTGCTATATTCCAGCTCATTTAATTCAATGATTAATTTATTAACCAGACAGCTGGGGCTGGTGACGGCCGAACTTACACGCGAGTGCAGATTTTACAAAGATCTGCTGGTCTCAGGGAACTCGGACTTCAGAGAACTCAATGTTTCAAATTATAAATTAGTTAACATTGCTATGTTGCAATATCTATTAATGAATGATACCCGTCAGTCAGTCATCGAACAAATTTATTCATGAATACAAAGGAGCTTGTAACTATACAGTGCACCTAATAACTATACAGTTATACATAATAGTTACACACCGCAACCTGCACACTGCCATCGGCTCCCACCAATACATTAGTCCTCAAACCTCCCTTACCCCACTCATCCTCTCCATCGTCGTCTTCACGTTATATGTTTCAAGTTGTAGTAAATGACAATTAAATATTAAAGTGTGCTGATTATGCATTCATTCTCTTCACACTTTAAAACATAATTACGATTATCTCTTCGTAATCTGTACACAAATTTTAGCGCAACCTAACTTTTATTTGGAAGGAAGACTCCATTACAACAAAAATCGAGGTGGAAAGGAAACTGCCCTGAAGAAAGCCTTTATTAATTCGGAACTCTGTTCGTGGGAAGACGCATCATAACTTTAAAAATTATGTATCTAGATTTTCCTCTTTCATTATCATATGAATCATCCTATTACAATCACAGTAATAATTATTTAAATCAGTAATTCAGTATGACAGTAATTCAGTGGGCCGAGTCTGACATGAATATTATAAATTATTAAGCGATGTGCAAAGTATTGTTGAGGGCTCCTTTTAACCATGAAAAAATTTCTACAGAAGTAGAATGATTTGAATTTAAATATATTTCCTTACCGTTTTTTATTTTTATTTATTATACATTTATTATCATAGAAATCAGCATTTTTACAATCATGGTAATAATAATTGGTAATGGTAATAATAATTTAATTTCGTATTTAATAAATTTCTCACATGGAAAATTTTCACATCGAATGGAAAACTCCAGTGATTACATAGAATCCTGAAAGTATCGAATGTAATATGCTATACTCTAGCTAATTTAATTCAAAGATGTGCATTAAGATAATTGTTCATGTGGTAGCAAATGGAAAACTTTATACTAAACTGTGATGTTTTTGCATTCATTCTCTTCATATTTAAAAATATAATTACGCTCATAAACGACCATGACGCTCATAGACCAGACTGCGAAGAGTGCATGTTTACATTGAAGGGAAGACTTATTGCCTGCGCCTGCAGGAATGTGTATCAACCAAAGGTCTGGTCGTGCTTCAATCTACGGAAGTTTCACCTACCTTTGGGCTTCTAATGCATATATCTAATACTAGAATAATAATTCAGAAATCTTTGGGGTAGCGATCAATGAAGAATAAATAGTTAAACCAACGGATATCGAGAAAATGCTAGAAAAGTCACACGCTATACGAACATCGGGGTGCATAATTTTATCCTCCCTGATAACAGTTGAAATAAAAAGTTTACATAATTTATCTTAATGCCTGCATATTGAAAATAATTAGCCAGGACAGCATTCCAAATTTCAGACTTGTATCTTATTTATGAGGGCAGTTATTGCAGTTCATCTGGTACCAATTTCAACATATTATTGAGACCGATAACCGAATAAATTTTGTCTCTATTCTTCATTTGGAGAACCATATTTTCGGGAAACATATGATAGACTAAACAAAATGCTCTTTATAAGGAACAAAATATGATTGTAGATTAAATTTGACTTGTCTCTGGTACTTCACAAGCGTAATTATAAGCTACGAGCGACTCAATGTAACCTGCACATACGGGCTGAGTTGAACGTTTGAACGTTGCAGGGTTGAGTTGATATAGTAATTTCATGCGTAATAATTGCATTTAGGTTAGCAATCCTGGAGAAGGAACGACTTGCAAAATTTGCAGATGATTCCATTCATCGTGAATTCCTGCCTTAAAATTTCTTAGTTGAGGCAGCCTTTCAAGTTATCAATCAATGGATCACCCATTATTCTTTTAGTTTCACGCATTAGCTGCAAAATCGTACCAAAACAATCCACATGATTATATTATTTAAATTTAATCAGTTTGACCATTATCTGTTCGCAAAATACAATTAAGAAAGTTTACCCTATAAATATTTTCTCGGCGGAAACTGGACGAAGAAAATTACTGAAATTGAGGAGGGACTGAATCCGTGGCCGTTAGCGGCTGCGTTATTCATGGGTCGACTCAAAACCATTCTTCCGCTACCTTGACCTTTGTATCTCAAAACTCCAAACTTGGTGCCGTTAAATTACATGTTGTTCATTTGGACTCAGTCATTTATTGCAGAGAGGTCTTCTTGCAATTGCAAACCTTAGGCCGTCTGCCCTGGCTCCTGGGTGGCCTGTCCCTCAGCCTCAGGCAGGGTGGCCCAGT